AGCCGGGGACGTCACCCTCGCCTGCGCCAAGATCTGGGCCACCCCCAGGGACACCCACCATCGGGCACCAGGGACAGGGATGAGGGTGGGGATGGGGATAAGGATGGGGTGGGGACAAGGACAGGGACAAGGGCAGTGATGGGGAGAGGGATGAGGACAGGGGTGGGGACAAGGCCGTGGTGGCTCTGGGCACGGGGATGGGGACGAGGACAATGATGGGGAGATGGACAAGGACAAGGCTGGGGACATGGACAATGGTGGGGACAAGGATGGGGGGACAAGGACCTAATGGCTCTGGGCACAGGGCTGGGGACAAGGACCAGTTGGGGACAAGGACGGGGTGGGGACAAGGGTGGGGGGACAAGGACCTGGTGGCTCTGGGCATGGGAACGGGGATGAGGACAATGATGAAGAGAGGGAGAGGGACAAGGCTGGGGACAAGGACTGGGTGGGGACAAGGACAAGGCCATGGTGGCTCTGGGCACGGGGATGGGCATACAGACAGGGCTGGGGACAAGGACGAGTTGCGGACAAGGACGGGGTGGGGACAAGGATGGGGTGGGGACAAGGACAATGATGGGGAGAGGGACGAGGACAGGGGTGGGGACAAGGCCATGGCGGCTCTGGGCACAGGGCTGGGGACAAGGACAAGGTGGGGACAAGGACGGGGGGGACAAGGTCATGGTGTCTCTAGGCATGGGGATGGGGACGAGGACAATGATGGGGAGAGGGACAAGGACAAGGCTGGGGACATGGACAGGGGTGGGGACAAGGATGAGGGGAGAAGGACCAGGTGGGGACAAGGACAATGATGGGGAGAGGGACGAGGACAGGGGTGGGGACAAGACCATGGTGGCTCTGGTAATGGAGATGGGGACAAGGACAGGGACAAGGACAATGATGGGGAGAGGGACAGGGACAAGAGTGGGGACAAGGACAGCGATGGGGACAAGGTTTCCCTGGGACACGGGCCATGGGGGGTCTGGGCCTTGGGGACAGGGGACACCGGGGTCCTCCCAGTCTCCCCCATTCCCCTCCCAGTCCCCCCAGGGCCACCCCCT